TTCATCATTGAATAGAATTTTGTGTTCTGAAAGAAGTCACCTTCTGCCTGATCATGTGAATAAACTAATGAGCATATCAACTGAAAGAATGGAAGTACCGGACACATGAGAAGCCACCAAAGATGAACACATTGCATTCAAGAAGTTCATTAACAGAGTTGTGCAAAATTATAACAAGAAATCAAGAAAGATGTAGACGTAGTGCTTCATAGAAGGCTTGAGTAGCCAACTTTAATTTGTGTGATGATTTTAAAACATGAGTTAAATCTAATAAAATGGTCATGAAACATTTTTCAGTTTTTACTATGGTGCCATACAGCCCACCTTCACCCTCACAGTCTCACCCCTCATCGACCCTGACACCCCACCCTGTAAATTCGAACACCCCCCCTAATTTCAATTCCTGGGGAAGCCACTGGCTGGAATCCTTTGTCCATCTCTGGGTTCCCACCCCTCCTTCTAAATGGAAAAGCGCCAGGTTAAAAGTGGATTCCAGTTCAGGTGACATGATCACATGTCATTGTAAGACTTCATTACCCACTTGCCAGCACACAGGTATACAGGAAGACTTGCAAGTAAACAGAGCCATCTACAGTCAATTATCCTGGTTAATGGGAGCCATCAAGATTCTAAACAACCATTAATGGCCCACACTTTGCATAAATACAATAGGCCCTCAGAGTTATATTGTATATTTCTAGTTTCAGATACAAGAATGATACATACATACAAATAGGATGACCACACTCAGTACATTATAAGCTTTGTAATGATACCTTACAAGAGACCTTTTGCATGAAGCATATTCCAGTTACGTTATATTCACGCTCATTAGCATATTTTCATAAAATCATACAGAATGCAATGTTACAGTGAGTACGTCAGTAGTTATAACTGGTGCATAGATATATTTAGGAATTGTATATGCTGTGACATTCATAACTTTGTTGACAACTGCTAAAAGATAGTGGACCTTGTACTTGTGATTGTATGAGTTACTTGCCTATGGTTTCACATGCTCCTATGAGTTCTAGATGAACTAGAGATACCTCTGTTTAACTTGAGACTGTAGCAGTCAGAGCCAAACCCATGGTGGTATAATAAAATTAAGCATAAATAAAATAAAAGGCTACAGAATGGGTGTCCAACAAATGGGACCATAAAGAATATAGAAAGCCCAATGGAAAGGAAGGTCCAAGAAAATAGATCAAAAGTCATAATGGACTAAAAGGGACACTTCCTGTATCCTGGTTTGCATTTTATGTCATTTTGTTTGTCTGTCTATGTGATGTGGTAAGAACCAAGCTCAGGGAAAATTTGAGTGGCAGAGGGAGTCAGATGGTTTGACATCATTAATAAACTCCCCAAACTTGTTAATAAGCTCCCCAAATTTTGGACTCCTCTGGACTACACCACCGACGGAGGATCAAGAAAAACTTTGTGGGGTACCTTGGTCACCACCACTCCTCTCGGTGCAGTTGCATATCAAGGACAGGAAAAGTGGATGGGCCCCAGCTTTTGAGTGGGTGGGCAATGATGGGGGACGGGGATAAGGAAGGATCAGCGGCACAGGAGGGATCTGGTGCCCTGGGGAGGAGGGGCAGGAGGGAGGGGGGACCCCCCTCCCTTCACCCCCTTACCTCTCAGCAGGCACCCGAAGATGAGGCTGCCTGGGGTACACAGACTGCGGGGTGCGCCTGTGGGGTGGAGGGGGGACGCGCCCAGGGGGTGGAGACAGGATGCACCCATGGAGCTCAAGATCTGGGCCGTGCCCCCATCCTGATGATGGTCAGGCACTGCTGCCCCAATTTCTGGCTCCAGTGCTAGCCTGCCCCCACAAGGTACACCCCCCACGAAGCTAGTGCTGGGGCTGGCAGGAGGCGGACGCAGCCTAGTTGACGGACACTGGGTTAGGAGTCCCAGCCTGTGGATTCGGGGGGCTCCGGCCCCAATTTAGGTGGGCCTGGATGCTAAGTGGGTGGGCCGCGGCCCACTCAGGCCCACTGGTAGCTACGCCCCTGTCTCGGTATACTCCAGCTGTAAGTGGCTGAAGGAGAAGTAAGGACAGTCCCACCACCCTTCTCAGCAGAAATAAAGGAGCAAGGAAGGGACGCCTTCTACTATTTTTCTAAGGGAAGTATGGAACAGAATAAAGTATCTGTTCAGGCATTTGTTGCGACAGACCCACAAACGCCTTTGGAGGCCTTTGTGCGAGACTACATTAAAACCCACGCGGGAGGGTTAGTGAGAAAACCAAGTAATGGAGTTCTTTGGGCACACACAGATCCACGGAATTTAATGTGTTCCCTCTTTAAAAAGGAATTCTTTAAAAAAACAAAAAAAACCAAAAAAAACCAAAAACAAAAAACGCTCAAGAGGTGACAGGAATAGCCATGGATTGTGTATATGTGGCATGTAATATCCGGGGAAGAAGATTTAAGAGAAAAGTGGAGCAACTGGAGGAAGGAGGCAAGCCTTATCCAAAGAGCAGGAGACCAGTAAAACATTAAAGAGCAGCTTTGTCAAACAACTGAAGTAAATTCCGTACTCATTTGTCAGAGGGATAGTCTAGCAAGAGACCTGACTTACATTAAACAGTTACAAAAGGCTGGTTATGAAATTATCATGTGGAGAGAGCTAAAGCAATGGGGCACGAGTATTCATTTGGGCAAGAAGTGAGTACAGTGGACCTAGCTCACAGAACGCAGGTATTAGAACAAACCTGTGACATTCTGGAGGATATGTACCGTCAGGTCATAAATATTGAAAGTGAGAATGGGCTAACACCCCCCAAAAATAAGGAGGATGCCTGTATAAAGATGGAGTTGCCACCTGTATATGTTGTGAATCTAAAAATTCCAGATATTCCAGTCGCTATGGTGTGGTGAGACTGAAGAAAAACGACCGACAATAAGCAGAGGTAGAATCTCACCCCCACTTACAGACTGAGAGCAAAAATCAGACAGGAAGAGCAGAAGAAAACTGAACAATCTGGGGAGTTAGGAATAGAGGAGGAATCAAACACAGAAGATTTGGGACGGGGGTGGGGATGGGAGGAAGGGGAATCTGAAAAAACAGTCAGCAGTGAGGCAAGGAAAGAGAAAAAGTCACAGGCAGTCTTGGTGAAAATTCTGATAAGGGATTAAATATCGAAAGATTGAAACAAGAAATGGAAAGGACAGCTACTAATTGCTGTCACGAGAGCCAGAAAAAGGAAAATCAGTTACAAACGGTTCACCAAAGAATAAGTAAGCCGGACATGTCACAGACCCATCCGCAATTGTGCCACTTATTACAAGAAGCCCAGGGAACTATAGAAGTTGCTGTGAAGGCCCGTAAGGAGGCAATCTGAAATATCAGTATATCTCAGGAAAGAAAAAAAAGTCTTTGCAACCTGAAATTCCAACAAGTAATTTGATATCTTTAAATCAACTGAGCCAGAAGCAATAATGAAAGAACAAGAGCCAAAACCAAAATCGCCACAGAAACCCACCCCAGTGCCAGACCTTTCCAAGGTGCAGGCACCGACCACTGCCAAAAGAAAATGTGAAGAGTTACAGCAAAACTCCCTGTAACAAAGTGGGGTTTCCCCCTTGTTATGTTGTATGAGAGTATTACTGTTGTGCATGAACACTGTGTGTACCTCAGTTTCCCTGTATATTACACCAATGCCTAGGTGGTGGGAATAAGGGTGTGAGACTTTTCCTGAGGCCCTCAGGGGCAGGTGAAGCTGCTCCAGCTGCCTGCACATAAGCGATGGAGGGTGCCCTTCCTAACAGGAGAACCAGGAAGGGGACATGACCAGGTGACACTTTACCCAGGAAGCGAGACAAAGACCAGGAGGAGGGGGAGGGGCAACAGGCATGTGGGAGGTCACCTGGTTGGAAGCTGGGCAGTCTGCTGTTGGGGACTCGAAGGGGGGGGGGGAAGAGTCTGAGGCATCCAGCTTGGGGTCCCCCCCCAAGATGGACTTTGCTGAAAGTCACTGATTTCTGTGCTTGCAAGATCTGTTCTACGCTGTGTACCTGTCGACTAATAAACCTTCTGTTTTACCGGCTGGCTCAGAGTCATGTCTGACTGCGGAGTTGGTGTGCAGGGCCCTCTGGCTTCCCCAGGGGTCCTGTCCAGGTGAACCCGCCAAGGGGAAGTGCCGAAGAGGCTCCTTGCCCTGGACAGCATGCCCTGAGGGGAGTCACGCTACCCAGAGTCCTGGCTGGCTTCATACAGAGCAGTTCCAGGGCATAGGGCCTGTGACTCCATCACACTTCCCATCTAAATTGTCTATTGTAGAAGCTGCCCAGACTTGGGAGGTACCAGTTCCTCTAAAGGGAAAGGGACCCCAGACTCCCCATTATAACTGTGAAAGAGGAGAAAGCATCAATTTCTAATGTGGAACCATTAGAATCCAGTGGTCATGTCTCTCCAATAGCCATGGTGAGGGGCAGCCATTTCTAATGGATTTGTCTTCACAGCAAGAGACATTTATGAGTGACAATCCCTGGCAGGACCAGCTTTAGGAAGTGCGGGGCCCGATTCTAATACCCAGCGGTGGTCTGGGTCTTCGGCAGCGGGTCCTTCACTCACTCCGGGTCTTCCGCGGCACTGAAGCACCCACCACCGAAATGCCGCCGAAGACCCGGAGCGAGTGAAGGATCCGCCACCAAAGTGCCACTGAAGACCCGGACCACCGCCCGGTGAGTAAAAATTAAAAAGGCGCCTAAGTTAGGTGCTCTTCTTTAGGGCGCGGGGCCCGATTCGGGGGAATTGGCATAAAGCCAGCCCTGATCCCTGGGATGTGTGTATTTAAGTTTATTTGTGTTTAATAGCAAGATATAAAATATATTTTAAAAATAGCTATCCCAACGCTAGGCAGACAATCATCAACACTATCCAACCAGGAAAACAAACAAACAAACAAACAAAAAAAAACCTAGAACTGAAATTTTCACACCTCCTCCCCGAAAACCTTAGCCCACAATAATATGATAAATAATACACACCTTTGCTTATTCCCCTGAGAACTTCAACTCTGCTTCAACATCTGTCTTCATGAAAACTACTTCTACTGAGGTTCTCTTTTGGGGTGGGGGAGAGAAAAAGGGGGTAAAGAGAAAAAATAGATGGTTTTGTGACAATCAGGGTCCAGACACCCCAGAGGGAGAACTGGGGTAGTGAAGCCCAAAGAACAAGGACTCGTTTTGTCCGGTGTTGGTCCTGCATCCAGCACTATGGGCCCTGACCATGACTGGGCTTCCCCGGAGCTATTACAATTCAAATAAATAAGAACAACAATTAAGAAGTAACCAAAGCTCACCTATTGGCAGAAGTTTCCCCGTGTTTTCATGATCTCATCGGTCCTTACAGCTTCTATTAATTCCTTATCTCTTCTCTCGCATTGCAAGCAAATCTTTCCATTTAAGAGCCTGCATAATTAATTATTTAGAGTTGCTTCTTCTCGTGGATTTAATTGAAGGGTTTGGTTTGATTTCCACTGAACAGAAGTGTCTCTCTCGATGCTTTGACCCACTCAGAAAGTAAACGCGGAGAAGTAACAGGAACAGGACAGTCATTCAGCCCTTAAAGACGCACACACAGTCCTACCGAAGGGTAAGTTTCCATGGCGGCAGCAGACTTATTTTCCAGGGAGCTCACGTTCAGCTGATTATTCACCAGGCTCTTTTCCAGGTATCCCTCTTCGAATGAAGGTAACGGGTTTGAGGAGCCTCTTTTGCTCTTCTTCAAAACCTTACTGACTCTTTTGTTTTTCAACTCTTTTTTCACCTCACTCCCAGAACGAAACTTCCCTTAGCAAACCCATAAAAAAAATAACTTTGTTCCCCAGCCCATATCTGTTCTCAGGCAGGAGTCAATCTGTAACTGAAAGGAGAAATTATAAATTAACATGAGGATAGTCAACTATAGAGTGATCTTGGCATAAGACAACACAGGTTGGAACTATTACTGTTCATATGAACTACATCCCACGTCAGCATTCCTCCAAAGAAAACAGTGGTCCCCAGGGTCACACCCCTCCCTTACCTCTGTCCGCACGCCCCCAGGAGCGGGGCTGCAGCCAGGGGCTGAGGCTGGGGCAGGGCAGCACCATGACTAGGGATGGGGCCAGGGCCGTGGCTAAGGGCGGGACCAGAGCAGAGCTGGGAGCAGAGTGGGG